CCAGAGTCACTGGGAACTTCCCTCATGGCAAACAAAGCACAGGGTAGGTAACGATGCCACTCCTTAGGTTTAAGGGAGCAAAGTTTCCTTAAAATGGACTTGAGAATCGAATGCTGACGCTCAATCCTCCCATTACAGCTGGGATGATAGGGTGTGGTGAAGAGAGGCTTCACTCCCAGAACTTGGTAGAGATGTTGCATTAAGTCAGATGTGAATTGTGTCCCATGGTCAGACAAAATTTCTCTAGGGATGCCCACTCTGGAGAAGATGGACAAAAGGGCTTCAGCCACCTCTTTAAGGGAATGGCTTCAGGGAAACTCGAAGCATAATCAACTAATGTTAATATATATCTATGTCCCCCAGATGAAAGTGGACATAAAGGAGCAACGATGTCAATAGCTACTCTTTCAAAGGGTACCGTAAAGACTGGCATTTTGACCATAGGTACTCGCCTGGTACCTCGGGAGGATGACAGTTGGCAAACTTTACACGATCTACAATAGGTAGTGACATCTGAGGACATTTTTGGCCAAAAATAGGTTTCCCTAATTTTATTTAAGGTTTTACGATGCGAGAAATGTCCGGCCACTGGCAGGTCATGAGCCATTTCAAGAACAGTCTCTCTGCATTGACTTGGAACAACTAAGATGGAATAGTCTATCTCATCTGAATTTAATTTGAATACTGACTTGTACAAGATACCTTTTTATATATTCAAATTTATATGAAAAGTTTTTCCTTTGGATAACTTGATTTTGTTTAGCGGCATTATGGCAATTCTGAAGAGAAGGGCAATTACATTGTAAATTGAGAAAGGAGTCCTTTGATATATCTAAAGGCTTAAAGTCAGGGAAAATCAAAGGATGAACAGTAGGAGAAGCCTGGGCTTTGGTCTGAGCCCTAGTCAAGACATTTATGGTATCGGAGGTGATATCTTCACTTTCATCTAACAAGTGAACCGGTGATCCTACTACCTCGCTTTCGAAAGTAGCATCACTGGTTTTTAATCCCACATGAATCTCACGAGACATTGTCATCTCTGAACTTTCGAGGAGCTTCTCTGACTCTACAGGAAGAGGATATGAAACACTTATGTCCATCTTTGGTGATGAAAGGTCAACCTCAGAAGGAAGAATGACACCTTTTACATTACCTATTAGTACGGAGCAAGAAGTGATGGGAGCTAGTACGGCTTCAGACCAACCTGTGAACCATTTAGACCTAATGTAACAATGGATGGTAGGGAAAGTGTCCGTACGGCCCAAGTAGTCTGAAAGTATAGCAGAGGAATGAGTTTCTTTAAGATTAGGGAATAGCTTATCAGAAATGATTATACATGTGCATCCAGTGTCTCGTAAAATGGTAGATACATTAAGTCCATTAACTGTTTCCTGAACAGAAGGGTGCTTGGTCATTACAGTCTTTAAAACATCTTCCAACTTTTTGGACCTTCTTAGAAGGACAATCTGGACGTTTATGTCCCGTAACACCACACAAATGACAAACAGGAATAAAAGAAGTCACTTTACTTTCCACTAGAGGCTTTGATTTCTTAAGGTCTGATGAACCCTTGCCCTTAGGGTTCGATCCCTTTAGGTCTTTATAGGAATTGTGAGCCTCAGCATACAGGTCAGCAGCCTCAGTAACTTCCTCAGCTTTAATCAGGTTACGTTCTCTAATGAATGTTCTTATCTGGTGGGGAAGAGCTGTCAGGAACTGGTCAGCAACCATGAAGTCTCTAAGAGATTCATAACTGTGATCAATTCCTGAACTCTCTATCCAAAAGTCGAACAAACGAAAGAGTGTTACCTGTAACTGCTGAAAGCTCTGGCCAGGCTGTAAGGTGGCATACCTGAAATCTTTCCTCTAAGAATTAGTGGTTTTTTGATATGCTTTAAGGATTGCCTTCTTCAGTAGGTTATAATTACATAGGATATCCTGCGACAAAGTTGCATACTCAAGGCTGTACCAGAAAATAACATTCCTAACCTGGTAGCCCAGGTGTCAGCAGGCCATTCACAGAGAGTAGCAGTATTTTCAAACATGATAATGTATGAAGTTATGTCGTCCCCCTCTGTGAAGGGAGGTAAATTAGGTGTTGGAATATGTGCACTGACTGCAGGTTGTTCTATTACTCCTTCCTCTAATTATTGTTGTGTAAAAGTTAACTTTTTATTCTCTAATTCAAGGCGAGATTTTTCGAGCTCGCGATCCTTTTCTCTCTCTATTAACTCATGTTCTCTATCCTTTGCTCTTTCCTCAAGTTCTCTTAATTTAACTTGTTCCTCACGTATTTTAGCTTGTTCCTCACGTTCTCTAGCTCTTTCCTCACGATCAAGTCTATCACGCTCTTTTTGGTCTTCTCGCTCTCTTTCTAACTGTCTTTCTTGGCTTTCTCTTTCAATTCTCTCTCCTTTTTCTCCTGTCTTTCAAGGTTCTCTTTCTCCTTTTTCTCTTCTCTTTCGATTCTCTCTCTCTCCTTTTTCTCTTCTCTTTCGATTCTCTCTCTCTCCTTTTCTTCTTCTCTTTCCCTTTCTGTCTTTCTTCTCTCTCAATTCTCTCTCTTTCAAGTCTTTCCTGGACCTTAGCACTAATGAAAGATTCTAAATTTTTCCCTGTTATTCCTAACTTCCAGCGTTCATCCAAAACTGGTATTCCTCCATACTTGCAAGAATAACTTAAACTATCAGGGGAAATGAAACGGGTATTAAAGAAAATGGAGGGTTCAATTCCTGCTCTGCTCAAACTGTAAATAAACCAGAGGGCTCAATCCCTACTTCAATTAAACAATATGTATTAATTAAAACGAAGGGTTCTATGCCGGCTCCGAGCAAACAGTAAGTAGAATGGGGTTACTTGACCATCCAATCTTCTCACCAACAAATCAAGAGTGTCCTACAACAGTTCCCTTGATATAATAAAGAGCTCAGTGAAACAAATTGTCACTGGAAAATCTCGGGTCCCTAGAGTCTAATCCTCCAAAGTGTTTCAAGCTCGAAAAGGTGGCAGAATTAAATATTATATCCTGCCTGACTTGACTTGCAATAAATTGAGACTATAACAATCACTAAATCTTCTAAATACCTGTACCGTAGTCCTACCATAGAGAATGATTACTCATGGCTGGTGGTAACTGTCTGTGGTATGCGGCGTTGAAGTTCCAATGGTAGATTCGAGATGGAGTTGAATCTTGATTCAGTCGAGTTGATCCTGGCAAGGTCGCCACTTGTGAAGGCTTACTCAGCCCTGTAACAACTTCAGTCAGTATTACCAAGGCTGGCTCCTCCTCAGGAAAATTAATGAATAGAAAAAGAAATAATAAAGACAATGATAAACACTTTATTTTTTTAGAACGGAAAAAGTAAACAATAAAACATGAATGGGTATCCTAATTGAAAAAAAATGAAAAATGAAATGAAAAAAATTACATTTGAACTCAACGCTAATATAGGTATATCGTGGTAATGGGGTGTCAGGTGTTGGTGACACTGCGTGTTGTTGAAATCGTAGCCATTGCTGATGTGGGGGGGGGGGGGGTAGCAGGTGTTGGTGACCACCACCGGCTCGTTCTTCACAGAGTATAGCCGTGAGTAATTACTTCAGATGACAGGAAAACAGGTTCGTTACCACTGCTATGATGAGGGGTTAGGTCCTATGTTGGCTTACATAACGGTAAGTAGATTAAACATGGGACGTCTCAGGACGTTAGTCCGTCTCCTTCTATTCTTCTCGTTGGTTGGCAGGTGACCCCCTCTGTCATTCCAAGAGTAGTGTTGGGAGCTGTGAGTCGATTGATTTACTGTTTGACTGGAGCCCCACACGTCACCTTTCGGGGGGGGGGGGGAGAGATAGCGGGAGCTAGACTGACCCTACCTTAACAAGTAGCCGGCAATGAAACTATTGTTACTATATACTCCCTCACTACTCCTATCTATTGAACTTTTCCCTCACACAGCTGTGTTAGTGAATTGTGTTATGATATTTTAATTACTATATCTTGTATTTGCCAAGCAAACATGACACCCAGTAGCCATACCAGTGTTGCTGAAAGTGGCACAAAGAGGTCTAAGCACTTAAGTCTTAGAATTAACAAAGATATTAGACAAGAGATAACCTGTAGCCATAATGAAGTGTTACGTTGTACATGGAAAAAGAGGTTTACATGAGTTTGTGTGACTGACTTACTGAGTGACTTGACTGAATGAATGACTTGACTGTAATAATATTATTATTATTATTATTATTAATTTAGGGAACTGAAGCACAGATCCAGTTCCCTAGATCAAGAGAATTGGATCTGTGCTCTAGTTACTTAATGATAATAACACCAATAATAATTATTTTTATTATATGTAATAACAAATGCCGGTAACTCATTGCACTGTTTAGGTCACTGGAGGAGTAGTTCTTTCCTGCTTTGCTTACATTTTTAACAGTCATTTGGCCAAATTTCATTTTTCTAGGCATGGGCCCTAAGAAAGTAAGTGTAAAGGACAGTGCTGAGAAGAAAAAGAGAATGATTTCCATGAAATTAAAGCATGAAATCATAGATAAACAAGAGAAGTGTCCAGGTCTTGGGTTCAGGGGGCGGGGGAGCTGGCTCATAACTCAGAGTAAAAAAATCGACCCAGGGACGGCTCTTATCTCAAAAAACTTGTACATTGGGACACTCGTAAGTCAAGGTTCCACTGTACTGAGAATCTTATTTTTTTTTCCAACAAATCAGCCATATCCCACTGAGGCAGCATGACCTAAAAAGAAAAACAAAAGTTTTTCTTTTTAGGTCAAAAAAATTTAAAAAGAAAAACTTTTGTTTTTCTTTTTAAATTTAATAATTTATACAGGAGACGGGGTTACTAGCCCCTTGCTCCCAGCATTTTAGTTGCCTCTTACGACACGCATGGCAGAATCTTACATATGTTTATTATTTTAATAATTTTTAAGAACTTTATGCACTGTTTCCTTTCTAGCTGCCAGTATAGATAAACATTATTCCACAGGCATAATCGACTACAATTTCTTGTGCTTCCGTAATGCAATCCAGGAGGTGTTTGACGTGAGAACCAACCACCTAGCGCAGCTGACCAACAGTACGTCTCTCATCCAGAACAGCCACACCAATGGCCCCACTTCCTAGTATATCTTCAAACAAGAGTAGCTTTGTTGTCATTTCTGCTCACACACTTGTAGTTTATAGTTCTGATTTTAATTAATTGACCTTGATGGTTTTTGTGGACAATCAGTGACTGTTCAAACAGTATTATATAAATTTGATTAGGTAGACAAGATAAATTTGATAGGTAGACAAGATAAATATAATTTTTTTTTATTCAAATTTGAAAATATAAAATTTACACTATTTCTTCAACAGTATAGGAATAATTTTATTCTGTATGATGCTTTTGATGTATTTTCAGTATCTTGAAATAATTTTGCCACTACCTGTTTTTACACTTCTATGATTTCTTTTGTACAAAGTTAGGAATACATGACATAAAAAACATATTTAAATGTGTGTTTTGAGAATGAAACTCATGATTGTACCAAAAACTGTATCCCTGCATAAACAGAGATGAGTTTTTTGAAGATTTGACTGTTATTTCCTTCTGCTGATCAGAGTTGTTGCTCTGACACAAAATACCAGATAAAATGTTATCCTATCTCAACCCATCCTCCTAAGCAGATGGTGTTTTGTTTTGTGACCCAACTGTTGACTAAAATGCAAACACCTGGATTTTACTCTCATGCTTCCTTTGTCTTGGCATGGGCCATAGGTTTCTGTTTGTGCATGAAAACCATCTAGTCCTTATGCATTTTACATTTATTGGTGTTAACATATATTAGTTAATTTTAACCTAACCTAATTAGTATGTGTGAGAAAGTAAAAACCAAGGTTGGCATTAGGAGGATAGGTCGACTGTTTGTAAGAAACTAAGTAATGTTGCTCTCTGCTTTGCTGATGATGTTTGATGTGGAGCAACCAACAAACACACTGGTTGCTCATTTTCTTAGTCATGGATTTTTGTAACCTGTAAAAATTGCCTTGGTAGAAGTTTAACTTATCTTTCATTCAGGTAACTTTTTTTGTAAGTCATTATGCTCAAACAAGTTTTAGATATACAGTAAACCCTTGTACAATGTATCTTCACATATGATTTGTTTGCAATGCATTTCTAAAAGTGCAACCAAAAAATTTCTATATTATGCACAAAAAAAATCGTCTGCTTACAGATGGGTGGATTAAGTGTAGCCTCATGCCATTCTTGCTAAACACGTCCACTAGATGGCATTTTTTCCTTACCTAATGTTTTCCCAAAATTTATATAAGACATCTGAGGGGGAGGGGAAATATTCATTATGCATAAATATCAAGGATCTGCAATAGTTCAGTATGATACATTAATTAGACCACCTTCTGCCTTTTATGGTGTATCTACTTCAGCTGTATTTTTGCTCTTGTTGACATTTAGTGAGTGATAATAAAGGCTGTGTGTTTAAACAAGATAATTTAGTGGAGGTAGTGTGCATATTCACAGAATCTCTGCCATGACACGAACTAGCTGCCCAAGCATGTCACAGTCTGGAGATTTTCCACGCCTTGCTAAGCAAGGGAAACTTGTACTTAGTTGACTAACACAGTGAAGAACGATATACAGCAGAGCCCTGAAATTACGATGATGCAGTATGTAGTAAATGGTATTTGATACCAAAGGGGAATATGGAACCACTTTATTACTTCTAAACAGTAGGGCTACTTACGGCCATGGAAATATCGCTTCCACTGAGCAAGACAGTATCAGTATTCAATGAAAAATACCATACAGGCATACGTCACTAATATGGCATTTTTTAATTATGTTCCTGTGGTGATGCACACCTGGTTAGCAATACAATACTGTAGCATTTGTTTTATTATTTTTACTTTTGCATCTTTTTTAGACCTAGTGCTATTGTGCATTTAATAAATGGGAGTGTAAACATGTTTTTAGGCTTCGGTATGCACATAAAAAAAAAGGCTGTGATTCACTTTACTGCAGTGGTCTGGAACCTAACTTGCCATATTAGCAAGGAATACCTGTACTTTCTTTAATTAACAAGTACACACTAATTAAACATTACACTGGACAGTTTGTAAAGAGGAATAGTACTGAATATAGTGTAAATATTCTTTGATGAAAAAATAAATTTAGATATGGAATATTATGGTTTGGGAAAACATCTCCAATTATAATAGAGGGCCTATGGGAACAATGATTCTGAGCTCAGATCACCTAAGTTTTCAGTAATGCATTACTGTTGTAGCCTTACTAAATGGCAAATCTCTTGTCCTTTTTCATATGTACTATCAACACAGTACAGTAATATGTTGAGAGAGGTGGCAGAAGCAGGCATTCACTTCATTAGTCCTGTTATCTCTAGCTTGTCTTCTGCCAAGTGTATGTAGGTGACTGCCTTCTTTCTGAAATACACACAACATTACTGGCCCCTCATGAATAGACATGTTGAAGATATACAAAATAATAGCTATACAAACACATTAGATATGCACTGAAGAGTTTCATAAAGAAGTCTACAGCATTGCTGGGAGCCAAAGCCAGAATCAGCAGCTCTTACCACACCATCATTTTGTTTGTTTTGTACAATTTGATAAGGAAATATGGCTTTTATTATGATGTGCACATGTACTGACAAAGCTCAGTTGATGCTGTTGCTGCCATTTTATTTTTTCTATTCCCTGACTATCAAATGCATTTATCCTTGGTATTGGTTTAGTGAATTCCTATTTGTTTGGTACAATTTGATAAAGGAATATAACTTTTATGATGATATTCATATGTACTGAAGGGGCTTGCTGATACTGCCACCTGCATTCTTTTATTAAAACTTTTCTCATCTAAAACTATCACATGCACTTTACTTTTGAAATTTTAGTGCTAGATGGCTTGAGAGTTTTAAGAAGCATAATAAAGTTCTGATGACAGCATATTAGCTGATCAAGCATTTCCCTTCGCTACATCCAACTCAGCCCAGCAGGCCTACATTAATTCTCTCTACACTGTATAAAGGCCTCAAGTAATGACTAATAGAATATGAATTAACTAATTTTATAGTAATTTTTACATTGTACAATATTAAAAAAAACTTGGGTGGCAAATCTGGAGTGGAACCCTGTTATTACCACATGTTTACACCTTGCACAGTGCTGTGTGTTCTAGTGTACCAATCTTCAGGAACGTAACCTACATGTTATGTGAGGGTTTACTGTATTGCAACAGGTAGCTAAATACATTCAGGTAAATGAGTGTTTGTTATGGTGATGCAAAATTTCGTGAAGTGTTCTATTACGATTGATATGCACATTACAAATTCTTATTATATTTAAATGAAGCACTGAACCCACGTGGGTTCAGTGCAAATAGAGGTGGAGGCTCGACCCTCCATCCTCTAATCAGGAGACAAACTCTGCTCTCAGCCAGGCTTGCCAATTTGTCATGCCAAAGACCCACACAGGGTTAATTCTTGGAAAGACAGAAATGCTGTATAATGCATTCTTCTGCTGACAAGGTTTTGCTCATACAATGACTTTTATAAACTACTGATCTGCTTGTAACTTGACAAAGCCCACTGTGTGGGTGAAATGTTGTCAATAAAAGTGCATTATACTACATTTGTGTCTTTTGTTTTTCCACGTTGGTATTTTATACCCTTTCTCTTCATGAGATTAATTCTTGTTAACTAAGGCTACTGTCCTAAATACCTGCAACGTCACATGAAGGACATAGCTTTGTCGTCCACATTGCCTGCCCCTCGGGTCATCACACACGGTGCTGTTGCCCAAGGGAGACTAAGGTACTTGAAGCTCCCTAGGGCAGAAACTATTACTGTACAGCTTGTTTTAGTATTGTATATACTCTGCTAGATGCAAGTCATTTATGAGACTCTCTCAGGCTTTTTGAGCAAATTGTGTCTATAGTATAGATGTTCATTTCAGTAAGCTCTCTTATGAAACTTATTTAGAGCAATTTTTTTTTGCAAATGCAATTGAAAAAGACTAGTATGAAGGCTCTTTCATGTGCTATTCAATTTTGGATTAATTTTTTTTTTCAACTGCATTCACAAAAAAGAATGCACTATATAGAGGAACTTTTTTGAGAGCTGACTATATACAGTGGACCCCCGCCTTATGATATAATTTCATTCCATAAGTATGTTCAGGTGCCGTTACCGAATGAATTTGTTCCCATAAGGAATATTGTGAATTAGATTAGTCAGTTTCAGACCCCAAAAATACACGTACAAAAGCACTTACATAAATACACTTACATAATTGGTCGCATTGGAAGCTGATCGTAAGGCGGGGGTCCACTGTATTTCCATAAGTAATAATTAATTCGATTATTTTGTACATTGATGTCAACTAAAAGGATACGTTTTTAAAGTATTTGATTATCTCTACCTATTTTCCCAATCTTGACTCTTGTGTACAGTGTTTACATAGATAAGCCTTTCTAGTGTAGTGTAATTCTCTTCAATGTAGATAAAGCTAAAATATTCCAGAATTGCTTTTCACTTAAGTTTCTAAGTGTTGAACACTTTTTAAGCTTAACTGCATGCTTCAGATTTCCTTAATATAGACATGCAAGCAATAATTGATACCCTTATTAAGATGCTTTGCCAGTGCAGTAAGCTTGAAGAAGTCTGATAAAAGATGCTGAACAGGCAAAGCATCGTCTAAATGAAGCTAAACTACTGCTGATTGTATTTTTATCAACTATGGCTAGTTGGTTTTCCCATACAATCTATTGTTATAAATTTTTCTTGAATTGCTAAAGCAATTGCACCTCTCGTTTATTATATTCATGTGGAAGATCTGAACCTAGTGCGGTTATATAGTGCTTGAGAAATGGGAGGTGATTAGGTTTGATCCAAGGAAGAGGGGGAGGGGGTAGCTGCAGTTCCTGGGGTCAATAAGCCTTCACCAGCATCAAGGCATCCCTAAGACTGTGCTTCTCAAGATGCTGCTTAAATTCGAAAATTTCTTCATGTTTTAATAAATTTTTGTGCAAGTATATGAAATAATTAAAGGATGTGTTTAAATTCAAATTAAAAAAATACTGCATTAGTATTAACCACTGCACATGATGTACACATGTACATGTACTGTACAAAATCTGTAATTTTATTCTCTAGAATAGTTTATCAAACCTTAATTTTTTAATGAAATAATTTGAATGAAAAAAAAAAAAATAAATTCTTCAGTACAAATTGAAATGCACTTGTTTCTGTAACTTGCTACAAATAGTGTGTGTGGGTCACCTCTCAAGTATTTTATTTATTACTTGCTTACCTTTTGAAATTATCATGGCATCCAAAATTCATTTAAAATCAATATTGGTGGTGCATTGTGCCAAGTGAAAGCACATTACACTAACCATAATGCAGAAAATATTATTATTTTTTAAAACTGCCCTTTCCTATCAAGACAGGGTGAACCAAAGAAGGAAATACACCAACACTCATTCCCTAGTTTTCTTTCCAGTAGTGCCCCGACAACACATTTCAAACTATTCTTTGAACTGCAGTGTCCCTACCCATCCTAACATAGACTCACTCTTTGATATTTTGGTAGAAAATGACTTATTGCATCAGCTCTGACTTCAATTTTGCACCTTCACTAACCTCTTCCCTCGCAAACCCCTCCTTGCAGAGCTGTATGACCCATACAGGTTTAGTGCATGCTTTTTTGATAAAAGTAACTGACCTATACAATCATATGTATAGGTGAGTGCACACACAGGCAGACAAAAAAAAAAAGTCCCTCTGAGACCCCTGTATCAGTTCAGAAACTGGGAGCTCTCTACTGGGTTAATGAACTGGGAGCTCTCTACTGGGTTAATGAACTTGCAGCTCTCTACCAGGTTCATGAGCTGGGAGCTCTACCGGGTTAATGAGCTGGGAGCTCTCTACCGGGTTAATGAGCTGGGAGCTCTCTACCGGGTTAATGAGCTAGGAGCTCCCTATCGGATTTCTATAACTAGACCAGTGCTATATGACCCTTATGGGTTTAATGCTGCCCCATGAATACAATACAACAACACCCTGCTCCCGTAGCCTCGTCTGGTCAACTAGGCTGTTGGTACCAGAAGTCTGTGGTAATGCCTCCAGTCCCATTCACTGGGTTATCATTTCTAGCACTGAATGACTCAATTTACCAACAGCCATGGATGAGTTCTTGATCCCAGGAACTGGAACAATTCTCCTCCCCTTCCTGGTATCAAGTCTGATTGACCTTACTAGTTTTGGTCTTTCCCTCTGAGCATAAAAAAAGCAACACAGGCAGGTCCTGCTTTACAACGTTGTGCTAATGCAGCACTTTTCAATTACACTCATTCTTCATTTATTCAGACTTCCTACAATAAATATATTCCCTATTCACCAATCACTATAAGCTAAGGACGAAAATATTTTAAGGTAAATCATGAAATGAATGATGATGAAAATTTTTCTTTTTCAGGCCACCCTGCCTTGGTGGGAGAAGGCCGATGTGTTAATAAAATATAAATAAATAATGTGTGTACTGTATGTGCATTTGTGGGGCCTAGCTCTATTCCTCACTTAATATATGATGGTGTAAACATGTTTTCAGGTTTTTATATGCATTTGAAAGTGAAAAATGACTAAGTTTCATTTTACAGCAATTTTTGCTTTACAGTAGTAGCCCAGAACCTAACCTGCTGTATAAGTGCGGCCCTCGTGTAATAATAATAATAAATTATCAACAGTATTTTAACATTACTATAATAATAAATTATTAATTTTTTTTTTTTAACACATTGGCCATTTCCCACCGAGGCAGGGTGACCCAAAAAGAATGAAAAATACCTTTCATCATCATTCAACACTTTCACCATCACTCATATATAGTCACTGTCTTTGCAGAGGCGCTCAGATCCGACAGTTGAGAACTCCCTCCAAACTGCCAATATCCCAAACCCCTCCTTTAAAGTGCAGGCACTGTACTTCCCATTTCCAGGACTCAAGTCTGGCTAACTGGTTTCCCTGAATCCCTTCACAAAATATTATCCTGCTCACACTCCAACAGCTCATCAGATCCTAAAAATCATTCACTCCTATCTGACACACTCACACATGCTTACCGGAAGTCCAAGCCCCTCGCCCACAAAACCTCCTTTACCCCCTCCCTCCAACCTTCTCGAGGACGACCCCTGCCCCTCCTTCCTTCCCCTACAGATTTATATGCTCTCCATGTCATTCTACTTTGATCCATTCTCTCTAAATAACCAAACCACCTCAACAACCCCTCTTCAACCCTCTGACTAATACTTTTATTAACTCCACACCTTCTCCTATTTCCACACTCCGAATTTTCTGCATAATATTTACACCACACATTGCCCTTAGACAGGACATCTCCATTGCCTCCAACCACCTCCTCGCTGCAGCATTTACAACCCAAGCTTCACGCCCATATAAGAGTGTTGGTACTACTATACTTTCATACATTCCTTTCTTTGCCTCCATAGATAACATTTTTTGTCTCCACATATACCTCAATGCACCACTCACCTTTTTTCCTTCATAAATCCATCTGCTGACACGTCAACTCCCAAATATCTGAAAACATTCACTTCTTCCATACTCCTCCTCCCCAATTTGATATCTAATTTTTCTTTATCTAAATCATTTGATACCCTCATCACCTTACTCTTTTCTATGTTCACTTTCAACTTTCTACCTTTACACACACTCCCAAATTCGTCCACTAACCTTTGCAATTTTTCTTTAGAATCTCCCATAAGCACAGTATCATCAGCAAAAAGTAACTGTGTCACTTCCCATTTTGTATTTAATTCCCCATAATTTAATCCCACCCCTCTACCGAACACCCTAGCATTTACTTCTTTTACAACCCTATCTATAAATACATTAAACAACCATGGTGACATTACACATCCCTGTCTAAGACCTACTTTTACCGGGAAGTAGTCTCCCTCTCTTCTACACACCCTAACCTAAGCCTCACTATCCTCATAAAAACTCTTTACAGCATTTAGTAACTTACCACCTATTCCATATACTGTACTTGCAACATCTGCCACATTGCTCCCCTATCCACTCTATCATATGCCTTTTCTAAATCCATAAATGCAATAAAAACTTCCCTACCTTTATCTAAATACTGTTCACATATATGCTTCAATGTAAACACATGATCTACACATCCCCTACCCACTCTGAAACCTCCTTGCTCATCCGCAATCCTACATTCTGTCTTACCTCTAATTCTTTCAATAACAACCCTACCGTACACTTTTCCTGGTATACTCAGTAAACTTTTTTTTTTTTTTTTTTCAACAAGTCGGCCGTCTCCCACTGAGGCAGGGTGACCCAAAAAAGAAAGAAAATCCCCAAAAAGAAAATACTTTCATCATCATTCAACACTTTCACCACACTCACACATTATCACTGTTTTTGCAGAGGTGCTCAGAATACAACAGTTTAGAAGCATACACATATAAAGATACACAACATATCCCTCCAAACTGCCAATATCCCAAACCCCTCCTTTAAAGTGCAGGCATTGTACTTCCCATTTCCAGGACTCAAGTCCAACTATATGAAAATAACCGGTTTCCCTGAATCCCTTCACTAAATATTACCCTGCTCACACTCCAACAGATCGTCAGGTCCCAAGTACCATTCGTCTCCATTCTCTCCTATCTAACACGCTCATGCACGCTTGCTGGAAGTCCAAGCCCCTTGCCCACAAAACCTCCTTTACCCCCTCTCTCCAACCCTTTCGAGGACGACCCCTACCCCGCCTTCCTTCCCCTATAGATTTATATGCTTTTCATGTCATTCTACTTTGATCCATTCTCTCTAAATGACCAAACCACCTCAACAACCCCTCTTCTGCCCTCTGACTAATACTTTCATTAACTCCACACCTTTTCCTAATTTCCACACTCCGAATTTTCTGCATAATATTTACACCACACATTGCCCTTAAACAGGACATCTCCACTGCCTCCAACCGTCTCCTCGCTGCTGCATTTACCACCCAAGCTTCACACCCATATAAGAGTGTTGGTACTACTATACTTTCATACATTCCCTTCTTTGACTCCACAGATAACGTTTTTTGACTCCACATATACCTCAACGCACCCTCACCTTTTTTCCCTCATCAATTCTATGATTAACCTCATCCTTTATAAATCCATCCACCGACAACGTCAACTCCCAAGTATCTGAAAACATTCACTTCTTCCATACCCTCCTCCCAATTTGATATCCAATTTTTCTTTATCTAAATCATTTGATACCCTCATCACCTTACTCTTTCTATGTTCACTTTCAACTTTCTACCTTTTCACACATTCCCAAACTCATCCACTAAACCTTGCAATTTTTCTTTAGAATCTCCCATAAGCACAGTATCATCAGCAAAAAGTAACTGTGTCAATTTCCCCTTTTGAATTTGATTCCCCAAAATTAATCCCACCCCTCTCCCGAACACCTAGCATTTACTTCCTTTACAACCCCATCTATAAATATATTAAACAACCCCTGGGACATTACACAAACCCTGTCTAAGACCTACTTTTAAAACCGGGGAAATAGTCCCCTCTCTTCTACACACCCTAACCTGAGCCTCACTATCCTCTAAAAAATCTTTTCAGCATTTAATAACTTACCACAAATTTCCCTATACTTGCAACATCGCCACATTGCTCCTCTATCCCCTCTATCATATGCCTTTTCTAAATCCATAAATGCAATAAAAACTTCCCTACCTTTATCTAAATACTGTTCACATATATGCTTCAATGTAAACAAATTGACTACCACCCCTACCCCTCTGAAACCTCCTTGCTCATCCCAATCCTACATTCTGTCTTACCCTAATTCTTTCAATTTAAATAACCCACCGTACACTTTTCCGGGAAAACTCAGTCTTACCCTTAAAATTTTTTTACAGTCTCTAAACGGGCCGTACATTGCAAGTACTTTTTCACGAACTGCTAAATGCCTAAAAGATTTATGGAATTTTAGCAGTAAAGGTCGGAACCAAAACCAGTCATTGTGGTAGTCTAAAAGCCCCCGGGATGCAACATCCCAGCAATTCCGGAACAGCTTTTAAAAATTTGACCACTGTCTGGAAAATCTTCCAGCTCCTCACCCAACACTTGCTCCTGGGGATTTCAACTTAAGGCACCTAAAAGGGGG